CAGCGACGATTAGAACATGTTAAAAATTGTTTCCATACAGTTTTAGCTTATGATGAAAATTATGTACAAATAAGTATAATAGAGAGCGGCTTACCTTGTTCTTTTTACGATGGCAGTCTTCAGTAGCCTAATTTTTATTATAGTTCCTGGTATGTTCACTATTTGCCTGATTTATCAGGAGGGATGTAAAGTTTGTTGTTCAACATAATTACTAGTGTTCTTCACTTTTCTAAACCTGACCTTTATTATTTTACCCTGCAATCTTCAGCAGCCTCTGTAATAATATTTGTAGGTTCACAACTTTATTAGAAGCATATAGAAGTTGTGGTTCACCGTATGGTTGTAAAGAAGGCAAATAGAAGTTGTTGACTGTGATTATTATTGTTGTTAAGCTGCTCAATTGGAATACATCTGTTCATGAATTCATTTGGATACTGACTGATTGAATTGCTTTCAGCTTTGCATGGCTAGAGTTGGTTAGTAATAGAAGTTTTATGCCAAAATTACTCACAGCAAATGCACAGAAGGGGTGGCCCTATTTTCAGCGGTTGTTAGTAGACTTGTTTCAGTTCATGGAACCATTTCTTAGGAATGCTGAACTGGGTGAACCTGTACGCCTCATGAGATCGTCTTTATTTAATCATTATTATTGCCTGCAGATGATGATGCATTCAGTTTTTTACCTATAAATTTATTTTTGTTGGCATTTAGGTCCACTTTCTTTACAAAGGCACACTCAGGGTGTTGCTGGTGCTACTCCATGATTTTCCAGAGTTTCTTTGTGATTATCATTTCAGCTTCTGTGACGTGATTCCCCCAAGCTGCATACAGATGCGAAATATAATCCTCAGCGCATTTCCTCGTAACATGAGGCTACCGGATCCTTCTACTCCCAACTTAAAGGTGTCTATCTAATCTTAGATTCCTATCAGTATACTTGGCCATCAAATATAATACTGACACAAATTATGTTGTGTTTCCATATTTAGATTGATCTGCTGACAGAGATAAGTCAATCACCACGTATTCTTGCTGAGGTTGATGCTTCTCTTAAAGCAAAGCAGATGAAGAATGATGTTGACGAGTATCTAAAGGTAAACCTGAATGGAAAATGAACCATAATATATTGGAGGAAACAGGTAAAATAAGGGAAAATACACCGACCCTCTCATGCGCGCACATGTGTGTTTGTTCTGTGTGGAAGTGGGGCTGGTTCTTGAAGTGGTGAAGTCTCTTTAATTCTTTCACGCTTATAGAACGAGTATTTCTCATGCCAATTTATGCTACAGACTAGGCAACAAGGGTCTACATTTCTTGCTGATTTGAAGCAAAAACTTCTGCGTACTCCAAGCGATGCAGCTCATGGTGGGACCCATTACAATGTTCCTCTCATCAACTCCCTTGTACTTCATGTTGGGATGCAGGTATGTCCCAATATTTTCTACCTCTTGGACAACTAATAACAATCAGAAAAATGTTATCACAAGGACAACATTTTTCTTTCCCTTTGATTCATTTTTACTCGTTCTTTTATATTTCTCCTCTTTTCCATATATTTTGTCTTCTGATTTTGACATTGAATTTTTCATAGGCTATTCAGCAGCTGCAGGCTAGAGCACCCCCTCATTCACAGTCCATGGCTAGTATGACAGTTTTCTTGGTCAGTGCTGCTTTGGACATTTTCAAGACTTTGATAATGGATCTGGACACTGAGGGTTGTTATTTATTTCTAAATGCGGTTGCTAACCAATTACGTTATCCAAACAACCACACACATTACTTCTCTTTCATCCTTCTCCACCTTTTTGCCGAATCAAACCAGGTGGGTGTCTTTTCAGTTTACTAGGTTGTAGATGATATTACTTTTCATTATTTTCTTTTATATTGCAGTTGAATGATTTGAGAAAAAATTTCAGAGCCAAATGTTTTATGTTTTTCCCTTGCTTTCAAATTCTAAGAAACAGAGTGAATTTAATTTCTGATTGATGGTCTTGAATCCTGGTCATTCCCCACAATTTTTCTAATCAAGGCTGCATATGTAGTTTCACTGTATGTATAGCATATATTTCGTAAACATTATTTGTTAGCACAAGACAATATAATGAACAAGATTTTAGCTTATTTTTCTACATTAGTTGTCCACTACCATTCTCCTCTCCAAACATGCCAAAAATGAAGAGTACAGATTTACTGGTTTCTAATGAATTAGTGTTCTAATTGAGCAGGAAATGATTCAGGAGCAAATCACTAGAGTACTGTTGGAGCGACTCATCGTTAATAGGCCTCATCCATGGGGTCTTCTAATTACTTTTATTGAGCTAATCAAGGTAAATTATGCTAATCTATTCCGTGGGTTGAAATCTTTGAAACAAAAATTTCTTTATTTTTCAAACATTTCTGTCTGTAAAACAGAATCCCAGGTATAACTTCTGGAACCGATCTTTCACAAGGTGTGCACCGGAGATTGAGAAACTCTTCGAATCAGTATCAAGATCCTGTGGTGGTCCAAAACCTGTGGATGATGGTGTAGGATCTGGTGGAATACCAGATAACATGCACTAAACTATGGATGTACATACATTTCCTGTTGTTTCATACATACATATATATAAAAAATTAGTGGCAGAATATCTGGATCAAACGATGTTACTGTAGATAACTATCGCCATGTATGTATATTTATTCCTATTTTTCTTATGTAGCAGCATCTGTTTGCTGGTTTTCCTTGTACTGCTATGACAGATAATGCAAGTTTCTATTTGTTAGTTCAGAATATTTCCCCAACCTTTGTCCCCTGTTCTCTTCGAAACTGGGGCTATATGAATACTCATTTTTGCCCTTTCATTTTGTTATTGTTAAATCTATTGGAAGGTCACAAATTGACACGGTGAAGTGCAATTATAAGGTGTCAGAATGGGTAGGTCGGCTCGGATTGATCCGCCTGCGTCTGGACCTGGTTCAGGGCATACAATGTATCTGAACTTTTCATGTGAAATTATGGTCCTCACCTTGACTAGACCGCTTTCAAAATCTATGGATCGAACTGGCCTTTGAACGCTAATATTGCAGGTCAGGCTGGGTAGAATCATATATCAGTACACACCATTGTTATTTGTAACATTAAGGGTGGGTTTTTCATGGGAAAAAATTAAATTTTAAGTAATTGAATTATTTGCATAGAATATGTCAATTAAACGTATTTGATTGATTTTATTTTTAATTTAGAAAATGTTGTACTTGTTCATTTTTTTATTGGTGGATAGATGGGAGATAAGGGGTAGATGAGAGAGAAGAGGAGTGAATTATCTGAAAAATAAAAATATATTTCTCTTAAGATGCGTTTGATTGTCAATATTTTTCATAAAAAATATATTTTTTTCTACTCTATTTTCTATTTTTGTGTTGTTTGATTGATATTTTTTTCATGAAAAATGTTTTCCTACTATTGATTACGAGATCATATTTTCATCAAAATCAAGAAAAATATTTTCTTTAGGGAGGTAGAATTTTGTTTTCTATGGAATCAACTCTCTCTCATTTATTCATTCTCTCTCATCTATTCACCAATAAAAAAATAGACAAGTTTAATATTTTTTATGTTGAAAACTAAATCAATCACACATATTTAATTAATAATTTTCATATAAATAAGTTTTAGATAATTGAATTACTAGAATTGATTTTCTTTCCATACAAATTTCATACTCACAATCAAACGTAACCTTGAAGAAAATATTTATCTTGTTTTCAAGTAAAGTAAATTAACGTGATTAAAAGTAGGAAAATATTTTTCATAGAAAAAATATCAATCAAACAATACAAAAATAAGAATTTGGATGAATAAATGATTTTTTTCATAAAAAATATTGACAACCAAATACACTCTAACTGTTATACTATCATCATCAGACTATCATAAGGTTGGCAACAGTTCGATTTAGGGTCTGTTTTGTCAAAATCATCACCGAACCACTAATTTTTTAGTCATGCCATAACACCACCATAACTCTGTAAGTTGGTTCGGTTCATATCTCAGTTCGGCTCAATTCGAGTCGTTATTCACCAGGAAAATAAATTAATTTTATAGCTCCAGCCGTCAAAATGATTTATGACAAAAAAATCAATGAAAATAAAAATATAATATTAAGCGAATGTAGCAAACAACATTCCAAATAATCATGCAAACAATATCCATATAAAATATGTACCATCATTTCAATATTACAATAAAAAAATGAAGCCTATTCATGAAGTACATTCAACTGAGAAATAATTTTGGCAGCCAAAGATTTTGCATAAATTGTTCCTCTCTAAGTGATATCCACTAATGACATTTGACCGGAATTCCCATAATTTTGTTTAAATTCAATAGATCTACAAATTCTCTGTAAAACCTCCAGAGATTTTTTTTTTTTTTTTGCAATTTGGTACTGGGTGATGAATTCAACAGCCTAATAACTTGCTCATATCCTTGCATTTTCCTTGATTATTTTTCAAACTCAAAATGCATGTCATCAAATTCCTCTAATAATAAAACTTAATATCTCTAGGTAAACTAATTTTATTAAATTCATCTTTTATGTGGAGAATAATTTCATCAAATACTCAAACTCGACAAAAACAAAAATAGATACAGATTACAGCAACAGTAATTGGCAAATGGGAAGAGAAAGAAAAATACCCTCCTATCTGGGAATGGCAACAGCGAGTAAGCAAGAATACGGTGTGTAGAAGAAAAAAAATTTGAGGACGCACTTTAGAGACTCTAGTGAAGACGGCCGTCGGCTAATGTTTTGTTGAATTTGATTCCAATTTTCTTTATGGTAGGGTTAGTACTTAGTGGGTAAGTGGTAATTGGGTTAGGTTACTTAATGGTCTGGTAATGGACTATAAATTTTGGGCTAGACAAATTATAATAGAAAGAAGGAAAAAAAAAAAATCACGTATGCACTACTTAAAATAAAATATTCTCAATATATATACACATAAAGATAATAATATTGTTAGAAATACTTGATCCCTTAATAACTCCCAAAAACATATCGTAAATGAAATTAAACTGCAAAGGCAGCAAAACTATAAACTACGTTGAATTAAATACATTCCCATAAATTAAACCAATTCAAAAAAATTTAAATGGAGAACAATACTCTGTATCTTTTGAGAGAAATTCTGTTGGTCTTTCTTCCTCGCCTTCTTGAATAAAAAACTGGAATCTGCGAAATTATTCAATCAAAACCATCCTCGAATTTGGTAATTCCATACTGTACTCCATTATTTCATGTTTTGATGTAACAATAATCTCTATAATCTGTTATATATATATATATATATATATATATACTTGGATTCAGCATGATCGTTCTAACACATGAACTACAAAACATTTAATGTTTGATTTGTATGTAATATAACTGATCACATAGAAACTTTATTTTGTTTTTCTTTAGAATTTAATTTGCCGATAAGTTTGGTATGTCTCCAAGTAAGAAATCCTATATGACTGACTATTTGCCCTGGTTATGGTTTTTATTCGCTGTAATCTGATTTACTGTGGCAGTCCATATGAATATGAATTTCCCTTAATGTGTGATATATGATCACAGGGGTGGATCCAGGATTGGATTCAAGACCGGGCTACTACGCGTAAAAATAAATAAATTTACACATAAAAAACTGATTTTTTACCAAAAAAATAAAAAATACCTTTAAAAAAAAGTTCTTGGGCCTGAGGGAAGGGGGGGGGGGGTTAAAGCCCAGCCCCCCCAATCCGTCTCTGTCTGATCAATGAATAAGGTGATAAACTAGATTGTAGATGAACCTCATAAAGAAAGATCGCAACATGTACTAATCAATTATATATCTTATATACTTACAAAAACAAATGAGATTTTGCTCGTAAATTGACAATCCTATACAGCAGTTTCATATATTTAGAGAATTAGCTAAAATCGAAATCGATGTATTAATCTACTTTGACTTTGCTTTTGCTTTGATTTAAAATTATCAGACATGTATAGATTTCAGTTAAACATGAAATGTTGTTGTAAAGCAGATTAATATGTTACAAAATGTTAATTTATTTTCATGTTTTTATTCCACAGATGTCTCCATCCATTGAATTTATATATAAGTTTATGGCGAGAATAAAAAGCACCTTGTGAATTTGAGGGAAATGACGTGCACTTGCAACCGATTTTTAGATAGACACCGTTATCTATCTACATGAATTAGCTGTAACTGGGCAAAGGAACAAGTGCCTTAAAAAAAATATTGTTCGAGCTACCACATAAAGGAGTCTTACATTGACACTTACGCAGGGAGCAACGTTGTACTTGGGGACTGTGAATGTTGGCATTATAATAACAATCAATCCCATGTCAGTATATATATATCCACTAGAGTCAAGGAGACATCCAGGAAGACCTAAGGAGACAAGGAGACGAACAAGGGCAAAGACCTTCGACCCAACGAGATATGGATGATGATGCGGAAAGGTACACAAAGAAGAACTTGTAAGCAACCTCTACCGCTGAGCCATGTCGAAAAACGGAAGCGAGTTTCAGACGTGACAAACTCACCAATGACATATATTTAATACTTTTAAGTATTGGCAAAAAAAGTGTTTAAATAAAATCAGTTGTGTTGGGTACATGAATTGATTTTCTTTATTTGAATCAAAGCTTTTTCAAAATTGGAATTTGACTTGGTAGTTTTCAGTATCTCTTTTTGAATGTAGCATGAGATTCCCTGTTTCACAACCACATGCTATAAAATCCGGCGTAAATACGATGCAATGACGTTATTCCACTAAGATGTTAGTTCTAAACTTTCGGTATCTACAAAATCATATCTTTAACTCCATAGTGGCGAATGTCTGCTTTTAAAATAGATAGAAGAATCCCTTTAGTGAGTTTCTGTCATATGTATTCTATATATAATCAAAAAAAAAAAAAAAAAATTGTTTTAGCGTTGAGAATTGTATGTGTAGTGTCAAAGCAAACTGTCCAGATCTTCATCCTTGAATAATATTACAAGGATATGTCATGTAGAAGCGATTCCAGACGTGATGCATTACGTTACGCATTATTGATACACAACATCATATATTATGTTTTCACAACAGATAACGTTTGCAAACATCCGAAAATAGATAGCATAAACCTGTAGCTTAACAACAGGATCAAAGCAGTGGCTAGTAAGGATGAGCTATGTCAACTGTGAAATAAAACGACTGCAACAAGATCCCATGTAAAGAGAAATGACAATCCTCATGTAATCAACCACCAAAAACGTCCATTAAGAACAGAAACAGCATGTTAGATGAACCTTAAACTCTGTTCAATATATTAATCAACACAGGAATACTCCTATTTTCCTAGCATGTCCCAGAATTGGAGGGGCACAAAGCATAAAAACCATATGAACTATGGGGACATGAAAGTTTTCATTCGCCCATCATGATGTAAAATACTAATAACATATCAGTAATCTAATATGTCATGACAATTGAAATTTCTGTCCCAAAAATGAGTTACTGAAATGAAAGTCGAATTAAACATCAGATACATTTCATATAAAGCAAAAGTTAACATCAACATTCATTCTAAGGTGATTCCTCCAGAATCCAAAGAGCGTCCGTTTGATCGCATACATGACATACGGAAATGAAAAACCAACTTGTTCAAAATATGCACCAACCACAAAATCACTAATACCATCATCATAACTAAATAAAAAATGAATTGATAAACGTGATTGCACATTCAGAAAGAAGAACACAGGTTTATATCTTCACAAATTGGTAAGAACATAATAGATTTGATCATGAAATCACTGAAAAAAAGGTATAGATAAGAATAATGCTACTTTGTGGGATGTGAGATGTGATTTCAGTTTTTGCCTAAAAATGAAGGAAACGAAATTTGGAAATTTTGGCAATAATTGGGGGTGAATTAAAGAGGCTTGTTTGGAGACATATAAGCTACCTAAATTGATCATTCTTTTTTGGAGTCAAGTTGTTGTAAATCGTTTTTACTATATATATTGTAGTACTTTTAGAATAAAAAATGATGATATGTAATTTTTGAATATATATTTAAAAGTATGCAGTCCATGTAATTTCCACTAGAAGGAATAATGAAAAGTCCAATTGTCCAATTTTTTATTTTTTTATTTTTTTTTTAACGGGTAATTGATTCGGCTCAAGACGGGACGATATCACAAATATCATACCCGCGCCCACCCTGAATCGAGTCACTAAAATCAAATATCATATCTATCACATTGCACCATCGGTTCGATTTTTTTCATCCCATTCGGTTCAATTAATCGCAGTTTTCGATTTTCGCAGTTCGAATTGCCATCCCTAGACTATCACTTGTAACATTTATGTTATACCACTATCGTCATTGCAACCACCATTGTAACATTTGTTGTTACACCACCATCACAATTAGCCTCCCATCCATGCTAATGACCACCACCACCGCAATTACTGCCATGAGTAGATATGTAGCACCATAAAAATCGAAAATTACCATCACTAGAAACACCACATCTTCTCACCACCGAGACTCGTCAACAATCTGTACCCACCACCATTACCCGAAAAACATCATAACCACCCCAAAAAAAAAAAAAAAAAAAAAAAAACAATCTAACGAAACCAAAAATAAAAAGCCAGACCCTTCGAAACTAATGTAAAGCATTTTTTACTCCATTGTTCAAGCTCTTCCCGCTTCCATTTCCAAGCTTTGTTAAAAGGGTTCTTGAAGGATCAAGTCCCAATTTCAGATTTGAAATTTATTCACGTTGTTTGACAGTTTCAAAAGGTGGTGGTGGCAGCAAAGGTGGAGGAAGAATTGAGTGGTGGTGATAAGCAATGGTGGTGACGGTTACAACGAGTGTGGG